TTCACAAGTATTTTGAGATGGAGCATGTTCACCATAAGCTTCGCAAAGTATATAACTTTTTCTTCAAAGTAATGAATTAAAACTTCTCGCAAATGCTCTTTTTTTGGTACAAAATTCGACATTTTTAAGCGTAAAAATATCTATGATGTTAATACCTTCAGCAAATTTGACATGAAGTTTTGAAGCTTGCTATCAATACAACAAAATATCATACATATCAAATCACATATATGTTAACATATGTGTAACTCCATCTATTGAAAAAAATCTGCATTATTAACTGGTACACCTAGTATTTATGCATTCATTTGCTGCTGCTTCTATGTTTCTTGACCAGGGATCAAACCCACAATCTTGGCATATTGGGGACAACACTCTAACCAACTGAGCTAACTGGCCAGAGGTGTAATAACTTTAAATGTAAAATATACATAATGGCCTGGCCAGTGTGACTTAGTGGTTGAGCATTGACTTACGAACCAGGAGGTCATGATTTGATTCCCAGTCACAGCACATGCCCGGGTTATGGGCTTAATCCCCAGAAGGGGGCATGCAGGAGGCAGCTGATCAACAATTCTCTTTCATCATTGAAGTTTCTATCTCTCTGTCCCTCTTTCTTCCTCTCTGAAATCAATAAAAATATTTTAAAAATAAAATAAAATATACATAATGCATATTTTTAAAAATTGCAGTGAAGTTGAGAGAGGATTTGTAGACATGGGCTTACAAATATTATAGACAGCGAACATTCACATATCGATACTCGAGTGATTTAAAGTCACAAGTTTGTGCCTAAGAAAATAATTGAAAGAGCAAAATATGTCACACTTGCATTTAATGCATAAGAATTTGTGTAGGCTATAGAACCACTAAGGATTTGACTCCTAGGCATTTCATTCTAAGACTTAGCATAAGACCTGTTTGTGTGTGTGTGTGTGTGTTTTCATATAAGACACCCATTCTTGAATAAGGATTTATCACTTTATTGACCTGGACCAATACAAACAAGCCAATTGGCTAGTGGCAATCAAGTTCACTTAATGAAGACCATGTCTATTTTAGCTGACACCTTGAACCCTGAGTTCATAAAGATAAGAATCATGGGACCAAAAAAGAAAAAGAAAAAACAATTAGCAAAAGAAAAACATTAAAGCACAAAAGCTCTTCATTGATGTTGTTATGCCCATGGTTACCTATACTTAGAGAATTCTCCAACACTGTTACCTATAACATTCTGGAGATAGGAAAGGAACTAGTACTTTTTGGATGCAGGCATGTCTTCTTTCAAAGGCTCTGGTATGGGTATGGTGGGAGGTACCCATAACGAACAACAATAAGAAAACCATAAACATTTTATATACATGCGAAAAGGCAAACACAATGATAAAATGTTTAGACTGAAGAAATCATGTGAAATAAAAAGTAAAACTTATTAGTAATATCTGTAAAAAAATAATTTTACTTGCCTTGAGCAGATGCCCTAATTTTTCTTTCCTTTGTGAGGGCACTAACTAAACTAAAATGATAAGAGGTTCACTTCCAGAATGTATTATTCAGGATATTATTTATATGTGTGTGTTTCTGTACTTATATAGCATAGAAAGGATATATGTTTAACTGGAGGAAGGAAAAATCTGTACCTCTGCTACTTGAAGTAAGTTCACATTTGCATTATCAAATCTAATCACTGTTGGTTGGATATAACTTCTTATTTTGAGTTGGCTTTCAGAAAATGTGTTTATATTGCCACAGATAAAACAAATATGTGTCAATTTCTTGGGCAAGCAGGATTCCAGTATCAGAATACATTCTCACATGAATTATTTCTAAGTTATTTAAAATTGGGACCTTCATTAATAAATATGTATTTATCCTATACATTAAAAGGCTAATATGCAAATTGTCCCGTCGACTAGGAGTTCAACCATGAGTTCAACCAGGGGGTGGGGCTGGCCGGCCAACTGCCCGAGGCCTCTCCCCCAGGCCAGCCCAGCCCGATCAGCCCCATCAGGGCGGGCCCGCCAGGCCCCACCCGTGCACGAATTCGTGCACTGGGCTTCTGCGTAATATATAATTGCTATGCTTTGTTAAGGCACTGGATTTTGCCATTATATATTTACACATTACATAGTATAGACATTAAATATATATCATACAAAACAAAGGCAGAAGAAGGAGACTCACTTAAAACCAGTATCTGACTTCAAATAGTCCGTTAAAAACAAAATTTCCAAGATAGTTTATAATTTCATTGTTTGAAGCAGTTTCTCATTGGGCCAATGTTATAAAACTGTAGTTCATTTCCCAGGTAAGTCCACAGAAGTCTAACCCATAATTTAAGTGAATTTTAGTACCATGCTTAAGAGATATATAAAATATTCGTCAATTTAGAAGTTTGTATTGGTTTGGTTTTCTTTTCCTATAGCTGTGGGACCAGGGGACCCTATTCCCTAGGGCAGCCCGGCAAACTACAGCCTTCGGGCGGGTTGAAATGAATAAAACTAAAAAACAAAAAAAAAGACGGTACCCTTTTATGTAATGATGTTTACTTTGAATGTATATTAGTTCACACAGACACTCCATCCATGCTTTTGAACCCATTGTGGCCCTCGAGTCAAAAAGTTTGCCCACCCCTGCCCTAGGGGCTAGAAACTAAAAAAAGGAACCATTAAGTCTTTGAGCACAGGGTAATAGTTTGGGTATTAGGTAAGATGGTCAGGCTCAACAGCAACAGAGAAAGGGGCAAAAGAAAAAAATAGCAGCACCAGATAAGAAAAAAATCGAGTCAGCAAGGAAGTGAGTGACTCATTGAGTACGCATCTATAAGTAAGGATGTTTTTGCTACCATCCCACCCAAACATTAAAGAAACAACTTTATTCTAAGTGAAACTTTGGAAAAGAGATAAAAATCACAAATAAGTAAAAAAGTAACAAAATATCTCTCCGGTCATTATAACGGGATATTTTATGTGATTGAAAAATATAGTGCAAAAGTGCAAACTGTATTATGTTGGGCAAATCAATGTTTAGTTCTTAATTCCAAATGAAGTTATTATATAAGGTTTAAACCAAAAAAATATTGAAGAAAATTTTTCATTTACTTACTTACAGCCCCAATGTAGTCTGGCCTGTCTGGGTGCAAAGCCTGACTAAACAGGTTGTAGAGAAAATTCTCAGATGAAGTGCATCATATTATTAGTTAAAGATCTTCTGGCTCGACTTCAAGCTTTATAGGTATACTAGAGGCCCGGTACACAGATTCCTGCACCAGTGGGGTCCCGCAGCCTGGCCTGCGCCCTTCTTGCAATCTGAAATCTGGGATCCCTCGGGGGATGTCAGACTGCCGGTTTCAGCCTGATAACCTGCTCTGTGGGGATCAGGCAGAAACCGCTGTCCAGTATCCCCCGAGGAATGTAGTAGTGTGTGAAGCAGCAGGTGGCCAGGGAGGAGTCCGAGCCCAGGCTGGGCACCATTCCCGCTCATCTCAGCCCCGTTGCGCCTGCTGCAGCTGAACCTGCCACAGCTGCACTCACCGGCCATGAGCCTGGCATCTGGCGCCTGTCAGTCAGCTGTGGGAGTGGACTGACCACCAGGGAGCAGCTCCTGCGTTGAGCATCTACCTGCCCCCTGGTGGTCAGTGCGCATCAAAGCAACTGGTGGAAGGGTCAACCAGTCACTTAGGGTTTTATATATATATAGATTTCATGTGACCAGATATATTTTCCTTGAAATGTTAGAATGCTTTAGTGTTATTCTATTATTGCTTCCCTGTTTCATAGAACTGCACTAATTTCTCCCATTTTTAGTAGCATAGAGAGAGAGAGATGTTGGATAGGGCAGGAAAGAAATGAAAACATGTATTCCATAATATTATCAAACCAATATTATAACATTCTAAATACTATTCCAGAAAAATAACAGAGGCCATGTTTAAAGAATCAAGACTGATCACTCAACCTCTGTGGGTTCTAAGGACCATAAATTAACCTTAATCCACAAATCTAACCAGTTGCCAGACTACATTTTGGCACAGGTTTTTAGCTGTGTCAGTACATATGCAGAAGGTGACTTTCCCTCTGACCTAAGCAATATTTAACTGGATCATTTTAAAAAAAAACAAAAAACCAACAACTTGTATTTGAAAATAACAGTCACAAATTTATAAGATATAATTATTGCATTATAACATACTTACATAATATACTTTCATATTATATAATAATATACATTTGATGGATATACAGTTTATTATTCTATTCTTACACTTGATCTTAGCCAAAAGGCCGAGAAGCGATATTATTCTATTCTTTATCTTGTTCTTCAAATATGCCTGGAGAAGAATTTTAGACAAATTTGTAAGTGGAAAAATTTAAATGTTCCATTACTTGACAGTATTGGAAAATGTGTGTTTGGTTATTATGGAAAAGCAAATTAAAATTTCTATGAATAACTACCTAAGTTTTTAAGTCACTCGGTTTCCTAGCTATTTCAATGGAATCGACAGTCATAGATCCAACCCCAACTCCAAGACTGGACCGTCGTAATGATAGTTCCAAGGCAGAAATCTGACGTAACTCTTTGCGACACAACTTTACAGGCATGACACCATGAAGCGGTCCCACATTTCCCATTGGCTGAATTTGGGGTGATGGTTGACTGTGAGATTTTCTTAACTGATTTTCATCTATTTCTGTTTTATCCTCGTCGCTTAACAGATGTCCACTAGCGGGTGCTAAAGAGCCATAAATTGGAGGTAATTCAGGGCCATTTTCCCAGAGCTTCTGAGAATTTGGTTGTGTTCTTAAACTGCTTGCTGAACTGTCTAATTCTCTTTCAAAACTTCCACTTAATTTCATACTTTCAGTTATGGATGCCCATTTTAATTCTTCTGAAACCATGCTTGCTTCTTCTGGGTTCAGGACTCCATCTCCAGCATCATGATCTAAAAATAATCCAAAAAGCAAAGAAAGTTAGAGAGTTCCTCAAAAGCAGGTATTTGTCATGACACCCTAACATGATTACATTAGTGTTTTTCTTTTTTATTGAGTTTTTGGGGCTGACATCGGTTAATAAAATTATATAGGTTTTCAAGTGCACTAATTATATTATTATCACTGACAAATTGTTTTTCAGCTTTTTTTGTTAAATAATTTCTTAGACAAATATAAGTGTGAATATGAACTATTCTGATTTTACTTTGAGGCATCTTGCATGTGAATAACAGAACTTTTGCTCTGGAACAAAGTTGAGAAATAGTCTGTTAGTGATTTTGGTACTCCCTGGAAACACAGAAGTGTTTGGGCCTCTCTGCTTCCCTTCCAACCTGCCCTCCACTGGGATTGCCACTGGTGATCACGTTCCAAATCCTAGCTAAGTGAAGCCAGCACTGGAGAATACTGTCTCTGCCCCATATCTCCAGCGACACTTCTGGGACTTGGCATTATATGTGTGAAAATCTAGTCTTGATAGGAGGTTTCTACTCTCTGAATATACTCTGGGGTTCTATTATCAAAATGGAGATGGGAGCAAAGCCCCTCACTGAGGGACACTCTGCTGGAACAAAGCCTGAGGTTCTCAAGTTATAGAATCATCAAACAGCAAACACAAGAACTTGCTTAAGGGAAGCCCATATAGGTGCTGGACCTCATATAATGAAAAATGCCAACTTTAACATATGTTGACACACAATTAGGACACTTCTAGTCCTATGAACATCAAGTTTAAAAACAGGAGTTGCACAATGGCAACTCTTAAGCCAAATCTGACCCTCAGATAGGTTTTACTTAGCCTATAAAATAATACCTGACCCAAAATTTGAAAATTGGAAAGTTTCATATAAAAATATAGACTTCCAACATTTCTAGAAAAAGAAAGAGAACTGACAATTTCTGAACAGCAACTGGAGCAGAGTTGCCCCTGCCCACTTAAACAACAGCTGCAGTCCCCTCTGCTCACCTTGGCTTCCCTGGCTCCTGCAGGCATGTTAGTTTGTGACTCCTGGTTTAAAACAAAATTTGTTTCTAGTATTTAAAATTCTCTCAAAAAACACCTGAATGAGCAAATGACATAGATCCTCACATAGAACTAGCAGATCCTCACACAGCTGACCACAGACAGTGCTCCCAAGGTTTGCTTCACATTAAAGTCAATAGGAAGTTTTAAAAATCCTAATGCCCAGGTCACAGTGGCACATGCGAAGAACACAGATGGGCTCACTGGAGAAGCCCATCTTGGATTCTTCACAATAGAAAGTTTCCCTCTTCCAGAATTTTACCATTAGGGAACGAATTAGAGAAAGATGAATTCACCCAAGGTCACACAGCTAGTAAAATAAGAAGTTAGGAGTCCAACCCAGATCTTTTTTTTTTCTTGTTTAATTAAACCCAGATCTTTTGATTCTAGTATCCGCACAGAGTTTTATAGTGATTTAAAGTGATATTAGGATAGAGACTGAAATATGTAAACAAGAACATAGACTGCATGTCTATATAAACTGATTCTATTCTCATAAAATATGTGAGAAAAACAGATGCACTATACCAGTGATGGTGAACCTTTTGAGCTCGGCGTGTCAGCATTTTGAAAAACCCTAACTTAACTCTGGTGCCGTGTCACATACAGAAATTTTTTGATATTTGAAACCATAGTAAAACAAAGACTTATATTTTTGATATTTATTTTATATATTTAAATGCGATTTAACAAAGAGAAATCAACCAAAAAAATGAGTTCACGTGTCACCTTTGACACACGTGTCATAGGTTCACCATCACTGCACTATACAGAGATATAACCAAAAAGTGACCACAATATTCTGGTCAAAAGATTAATTTTTATGCATTTGAAAATGCTAAAAATACTTAAAGAAGATAAATACAAGCCCAATAGGCAGACAATGAAAAGAGTACTATAAAAACTAATGAACCGAATACCAATTAATATGTATTAACTAGAGGCCCAATGCACGAAATTCGTGCAAGAGTAGGCCTTTCTTCCTCCGGCTGCCAGCACAGGCTTCCCTCTGGCATCCAGGACCCGGGCTTCTCTCGTAGCCCTGGCTTCATCAGGAAGGTCGTCCAGAAGGACGTATGGAAGGACATCTGGTCTAATTAGCATATTATGCTTTTATTGTTACAGATTAGGATACTAACTATATAGTATTTTTTAGAAAACTCAGAATTTAATATGTTTAAGTTGCTATATTTTATTTTTTTTAAGTGATGTTTTTGTTTTTTTATTTTTAAATGTATTTATTGATTTCAGAGAGGAAAGAAGAGGAAGAGAGAGATAGAAACATCAATAATAAGAGAGAATCATTGATTGGCTGCCTCCTGCACGCCCCCTACTGGGGATCGAGCCCACAACTGGGCATGTGCCCTTGGCCGGAATTGAACCTGGGACCCTTCAGTCCACAGGCCGACACTCTATCCACTGAGCCAAACCAGCAAGGGCAAGTTGCTATATTTTATAATTCAAACCAATCTTGTTTAATGTTATTATTATTAGAGTAACATATTGAGGTAAGATATAATACAAGCTATATCTCCAATATGATTCCAACTTTTTTTTTTTTTAAAGCATGAGGAAAGTACTGACAAGAATTATACTAAATGTTAACAGTTTTGAATAGAATTATGGGTGTGTTTTTATGCCATATTTTTCAAATTTTTCTATAATTACTATATATCACTTTTTATAGACAAAAAAGTTTTTAAGATGGGTCAAAATAGAATAGTAAATTTGCTGAAATCATATCTTTTGTTTTTAATCCTCACCGGAGGATATTTTTCCCATTGATCTTTATAGAGAGAGAGTGGAAGGGAGTTATTTTAGGTTAGGGAATACAAAAGCCTATGGCATATGGCAAGTAATATGTGTAGTTTCCTTCACACATATACATTTATTCATTTATTAATTTTCCCTGCGGTTCTTTCTATCTTATACATTGACTAGAGAACTACTTTCACTTACAGAGTCAAATAGAAGTTAAATATCTAATCCTAAATAACCAAATCAATTGGGAAAAGCTGAACTACAAATTAGATGGACTTTACCAAATGCTAGAAAAACATTGTTAGCATGACAAGTAGCATTAAATGCTTACATTCAAATGGTACCGGTGGCCTCCAAACTGCTTCCCCTAACAATTCCTTAAGTTTCTTCTTAAGATCTCTGCTGGTTTTCTTATAGAAATAAAGATCTTTTTCCACCTGTTGGATTTTATCTTCATATGTTTTTAAAGTTTCCATAATGCCTTCCCCATCTTGCTCTATAAAATAGAAATTTACATTTAAAATCAGCTTAAAATAAATGATTGAAAATTATGTATTTTCATATTTAAAGTGTCAGATTATGTTACAATGTATCTGTTACCTGAATGGATATGTTTCCACCTACAATTTGGATTCTTCTGCCTCCAAAATTTTTCAAAGTAGGAATGATACCTTAGTCACCTTACCACATTTTTATGATTCATAAGCACTTTCTGAATAGCTACTAACTAGGATTTATTCTTAGAACAACAGAAGGTTTTTTCTATACAAAGTTCACATTTGGAACTCTGTCCATCAGCTACATCAATATCTTCAAGTTTATATCAGGAACAGTGGGCATATGAAAAGTCATATAAGCCCAGAAAATATACGACAAAAAACAACAAACAAACAACAAAAAACCACATAACAACAACAAAAACACCCCTCAAAACAAACAAACCAAAAACAAAGTCAAAAGAAGCTAGAAAGATTAAATTACAAAGGAAGACACAACAAAAAAGAGGACATCGCATAATAACAGGGTGAGGCAAAAGTAAGTTTATAGTTTTGAGTAGGTGACACAGAGTTTATTCTTATACTAGAGGCCCAGTGAATGAAATTGGTGCACTCGGGGGAGTGGGGGTATTACCTCAGCCTGGCCCGTGCCCTCTCGCAGTCCAGGAGCTCTCAGGGGATGTCTGACTGACGGCTTAGGCCCATGGGGAGTGGGCCTAGGCCGGCAGTTGGACATCCTTAGTGCTGCAGCAGAGGCGGGAGAGGCTCCCGCCACCGCCACTGCACTCGCCAGCCATGAGCCTGGCTTCTGGTGCACTGACCACTAGGGAGCAGCTCCTGCATTGAGTGTATGATGCTCCCTGGTGGTCAGTGCACATCATAGTGACCAGTTGTTCTGCCATTTGGTCTATTTGCAAATTAGCCCTTTATTATTATATAGGAAGGACTAGAGGCCCGGTGCACGAATTCATGCATGGGTGGGGTCCCTAGGCCTGGCTGGCAGTCAGTCCTGATCGGGGCCAGGCCGATCGGTGCGGGCAGATCAGGGCCGGCTGGCTGCGGGGAGGGATCGGCCAGGGGAAGGGACCGCGGGAGGTTTTCCAGTGGGGGAGAGGGACTGCGGGAGGTTGGCCAGCTGCGGAAGGTTGGCTCTGGGAGTGCACTGACCACCAGGGGACAGCTCCTGAGCATCAGCCCCTGGTGTTCAGTGCGTGCCATAGCAACTGGTTGACTGGTCGTTCTGGTCATTCAGTCATAATGGTTGCTTAGGCTTATATATATATATAGATTATTATTTATTTATTAATGTTATTTTCCATACTGTAAACCTACTTTTGCCCCACCCTGTACATTAAAATTTATATTAAAATACCACTTTTAGAGTCTTAAGATAAGCAGAGCACATTTGAATGATTATGATGTGAGGGATCCTGTCATCAGGCAACTGGATGTCAATTAACTGGTTATAGAATTAACTTAGAGGCAAATTGCCTAAGCACTCAAATTCACATATTTTCCAATTTTCTGCTTCCTTGGTTTGCTTCTTCCAGATCCCTTTAAATGCATTTCCAGCTATAGATGCATAAGAATCAAGACTAAGCAGCTAAGCAGCCTGGACTGAAGCATTACCAGTATTCCCGGGCAGTGATTTTGTTGTCATAGCAACTGCTTGTGTACCAGCTATATGCCCAGGTAATGTGAGGACTGACTGCTATGACAGCTCTTTCCACACCAGAGTTGATGGTTGAACTATTGTGTACTGGTAACAGTATGTGTCCATCAATGGCATTCTAATTTTGACCTAAGATATAACCTTAATGTATAAAGGTTATAATCAGCTGAAAATTATAACAAGAAATACAACTAGAAATCTGACAGAGCCTATCATTTTAATTTTATGAAGGGAAAGTAATTTAAAAACCAACTATTATATCCTTAGGAGATAAAAACTTTTCAACTGTACACCACAAAGCCAGAAGTCATTCCACAACTCTATGTAAAAACTAGACCAACAACAAAGTAACAGGATTGCAGCAGTTCTTGTGTGTGACAGTGGGGATAAGCACATGGGGTAGCATTTCAAGCATGAATAGCCCCACATCAAAGGCAGTTATCCCAACATGTGCTAACCAAAACATGGAAAGCAGAAAAACATGAAAAGTAGTAACTTTATAGATGCTGGACTTTTAAGTGATCAAATGCTGTTCTATCTTCCTTCCCAAATCCCCCTCCTACATATCACCTATACAGAACTGACAAGAGGGCAGGCAGGTACCTTGGAAATGATGTAACAGCAATTGCATTTTTTGCTCATGTTCCTTTTGTTGGAAGGTCAGTCTCCGATCACACTGCAATTTCAGATGTTCCAGTGCAGATTCCAATTCACGAACCATATTATCCCGTTCCAGGATCTTAATTTTAATTTCTTTATTCTGTAACTGTAGTTTTCTCTCAGTTTCTCGCAAATTAACCACCTAGAAAATACATTTTTTGACCTTTCAGTCTGTCTTAGGTACAACAGATTAATCTACTTCTGTTAGATAATGTAAGATGAACTTCCTTAATCACCATGGTATAACTAGGCAAATGCTTTGTAACAGACCCACAAAATAACCTAACAGCCTTTTGAACTTGTTGGGATTCTGAATTGGTAGTAACTTTATTTCAGTATAATGGTGCTCTACTAACTGCTCCTCCAACATTTCTTAGACATTTATAATCCTACTAGAGGCCCGATGCACGAAATTTGTGCAAGAGGCTCAGCCCCCACCCTCACCACGGCCCTTGTCAGCTGTCTCTGCCTCCACCCGCCACAGCTTTCCAGTCTAATTAGCATATTATGCTTTTATTATTATAGTTTACATTTATAATCCTATAATTCTATTTCTCTAGTCTAAGAAGATATTAAGAAGCTAAAGACTCTGATAATAGCCAGATAATTCCCCATGTGAAGTCCATAATGGATGTTATAAATAAGTGACAAAATTTTAAAACTCTAAATACCGAGTTTGGTTTTAGATTGTCTATTTAGTCCATTGGGTTCTTCTCTGCATTGATATGAAGCAAAAATGTCTGTGTCACAGAGCTTGTTAATAGTATAATGACCTTTTAAGAAAAATACTTTTCCCAATGGTTCTCAGGATCAGAAAATCCACTGACCTTAGCCTGGACGCTTTGGGTTAAGAACACTTACTCTAATATTACCACAAAAAAGTTATCTATATCAAAACCTTTGGAGTACCCCACCATTTTTCTGCCCTCCACACACCCAGCAATAGAATGCACTCTCACCAATAACAGCAGCTTACTACTGACAATAATTATCCAAGAGGAGAGCAGTGCACAACAATTCTATTCATTTCTCATCCTTTTTAACTTGTGTAACAGAATTAGAACTTTATTTTAAACTTCAGTGTTTTATTGCTCATTAGTTGTCTGATATTCCCTTAAATTGCATATACTTTTCAGAGAAAAAAGTTATCTACTTGTTTAACACTTCATAATATATATTTTTAAAGATTACATTAGAAAAAAAGATGGATATAGTTCTCCATGATACAAAGCATTTCTGGATCAGTAAATTGTCAAATACATATAAATTCCTATATAATAAAAGCCTAACATATGCTAAGTGTCTGGTCATCTGTTCAACCAAAGTGTAATATGCTAATAATATGCTAAGGCCACTCAACCACTCGCTATGATATGCACTGACCACCAGGGGGCAGACAGTTGACCAGTCGCTATGATGTGCACTGACCACCAGGGGGCAGATGCTCTGACTGGTAAGTTAACTTGCTGCTGGGATCCAGCCAATCAGGAGTGAGTGAGACGGGCCAGACACACCCTGGAGCCCTCCTGTGGTCCCTCCCAGGAGCCCTCCTGTGGTCCCTCCCAGGCTGGCCAACCTCCTGTGTCCCTCCCCAGCTCTGATCATGCAGTGGTGGGGTCCCTCGGCCTGGCCTACACCCTCTTGCTATCCAGGACCCATCGGAGGATGTCAGAAAGCCAGTTTCAGTCTGATCCCACAGGCCAGCCTGAGGGACCCCACTGGTGCACGAATTTGTGCACCGGGCCTCTAGTATAAAATATTTTCATTCATATTAAGCATATTCAGGTTAGTGCTAAAATCTCTATTACTGTCTTTGCCAGTGATGTACCACTTCAGCTCCATATCAATTCAGAGGTTATGAAGAAAAAAATGTGTACCCCTCTCCTACAATAATGAAAGAAAGGTAACCCAAACTTGGAGGCCCTTGATTTTTCATGAGTGCTTATTAGCAATATCCAAATCTAGAAAACATTAAGAAGCAGTGACTGAGGAATGTAAATTCTTTGATTTTAAAAATTACTTCAAAAAGCTCTTATTTCAGAAGGCCCTTCAAATTTAAGAACCACACCAAGTTAGGCGTACATTCTTGGATAACCACAAAGCTTTCAGATGACAGCATGCAGTACTGTAAAGAGGAATCATGCTTAAATCTGGAGTTACACCATTTTTATGTCTTTTAATTACTTAAAAATTCTAAATATGTAAGATGTGTAAGCATCTTGACCCCTCTTTAGAAGAAAATCCTCAATCTCTCAAAAACTAACCTTATTGAAATATCTGAAAAGGATAGCTCTAATCTCAGTAGGATTCAGGGCAATTAGTTTTTCCAAGACGTTTGCTTCACTATGATAGAGGTTTTGAAATGAAACTCTGAGCGAGTTCTGGCGACTTTGGATACTTTCATTCTTGTACTCAATTGCAGCTTCCAAAGCTTCAATCCCTTCTTCAAGTTGGAAAAGAGCATGTTCTTCCTACATATAACACAATAGAAATTATTTTATTTTATCATTTTTAAAAAATATATTTTTATTGATTTCAGAAAGGAAGGGAGAGGGAGAGAGAGATAGAAACATCAGTGATGAGAGAGAATCATGGATCGGCGGCCTCCTGCACTCCCCCTACTGGGGATCGAGCCCACAACCCTGACATGGGCCCTTGACTGGAATAGAACCTGGGACCCCTCAGTCTGCAGGCCAATTCTCTATCTACTGAGCCAAACCAGTTAGGGCAGAAATCATTAATTTTAAATGAAATAGTATAACTTGGACTTTGTCACATACCAAGATCTTACTATGCTACGTTAAGTCCTCACTTAATGTTGTCAATAGGTTCTTGGAAACTGCGACTTTAAGCAAAACAATGTATAACAAAACCAATTTTACCATATGCTAATTGATATAAACAAGAGTGAAGTCCATGTGGCATATACCTGGCCACAAAAACATCACCAAACCCTTAAATAAAGACCCAAAACACTTCTAATATTAAACATTGAAATAAATGTGAGCTATACATACATTTAAGGAAGATTAATAAAAACAAGTAAGATAATGATTTTCCAACCCACTAATTCAGTTGAGGGTTATGCATGGCCCAAGCTTGTGTCTACACTCAAGGTGCAAGGTGGGAACCCTCCCTAGACAGGACACTCTTCCATTGCAGGGCACACTTACACCCACATTCACTCAGACTGGGACAATTTAGACACATGTATTCATCTAATGTGCACAGCTTTTGGGATGTAGGGGGAAACCGGAGTCCAAAGAGAAAACCTTCACAGACTAAATTCCAAATAGATAGTGACCCCGGCCTGGAATTGATGCCTCCCCGCTCCCATCAACATTATAATGAAATGACTTCAAATGAAATGACATTACTCAAGGACCTGCTGTATTTGAGTCTAATGGGCATTACCTTTCTTCTAAACTTTAAGGAAAGAATGTTTATTGAGTGCGTCCTATGCTACACAGTGCTTATGTTGATATACACATATATAACATATAATCATTGAATCCCTGCAATAAATCTATTAGTAAAATGGAAGAGGCAGAAGCTTAGGTGAGTTATGGAACATCCCAAGGTCATACAGCAAATGCTGAACACCAAGCCTCAGTCCACAGGATTAGCTATTTTGTAATACATCTCCCTCCCTAGCTCCTAAAGTATATATTATGTGTCCGGGAGATCTGGAGACCCATTGATATTTCTTCAAACATCTATTAAAACAATATACTGCTAGGAGGGGAAAAATAAATAAGATTCAGGATAAATTAAGAACTTGTAACCAGAGTTGTCTCTCTAAGGGAAAAACAATATGGCATTAAAAAAAGTAGTGAGGATTTAAGGACATGAAACATTTCATAAGAGACATCATTGGAGGGAAAATATGGCAGCATAACATTTTTTTCATATGCCAGAGATTTCCTTTATAGGAAAGAAATATGATGAATACCTATCAGAAAATCTAGTGGTTCTCTGAACTATCCAAACAACATGTTATGTGGGGGGAGGGATCCAAATCTTGGTAAGAAATTATTTCAGACTTGCCAAAACCTTGATATACACTGAGTGGCCAGATTATTATGACCACCCCATCAGTACCTTCATTGGGCTACCTTTTGCCTTCAATACTGCGGCACTCGTCATAATAATCTGGCCACTCAGTATATATATATATGTATATTTGTACATGTGGTGGAGCAGGGGTCCTCAAACTAAGGCCCGCGGGCCACATGCGGCCCGCTGAAAACATTTATCTGGCCCGCCGGATGTTTTTGCCCCCTGCTGCCTGTTGCTTAGCAGCCGACTAGTTTTTTTTTAAACTATAGTCCGGCCATCCAACGGTCTGAGGGTCAGTGAACTACCCACCTGTTTAAAAAGTTTGAGGACCCCTGTCAGGTGGAGGTTACCTCTACTTTAAGTTCCTGAATGCAGAGTATCTTGTCTATATTCATGCCCTGGTTGCCTAGCACAGTGTATGTCACACAGTTTAAACTCATTGTCTATTGAATGAGTTGATGAAAGAAGAAGATAAAAAATATTTTTTTCATTAAGTCTTGGTTATGTGACCCAAGTATTTCTTTCCATTCCTCTCCCCAGCATTTCCAGGAAAATAATGTCAGTACTTCTAATCTACCTAAAAAACAGAGTGATTTCAGAGCTCCTTTTCTGAAATTCAGGGAAATAGTATGTAACAACCTATTCCAGTGAAAGGTCAAATAATACTTATTTTTAAAAGCTAGTTTATCAAATATCCTGAAAGAGCCATTTTGAACAAAGTGTTCTACAGCCATTTTATTTCTCTGTGCAATCACTAACCACCAAGAACTTGATGATTTGACAATCACTCCATAAGAAAGAAAAAATAAACTTAAATCCTGAAAAGTACTAGGTTGAATGAATCAGGAACCAGAAAATAAAAGTAAGTTATCCAAAGAACATATTTGACTCATGAATGCATAGTGTGATTATAATTTTACCAAAAACAAATGTGGAAATCGTTGGCCTTTATATATGGCTGGGAACAATTAGGTGCAAATATAATTCCTACAGTTTTGGATCCAAGTTAAGGAAGCACCAAGATACTATACGACAGTACAGCAACTATAGAACCCTGACACCAGCCTGCTCCAATGGGCAGTGTCTAAATATTTGTGGGTCCCAGTAACCCAGCAATAGGTATAGATTGACAAGATGAGTGGCAATGGGAAACTGTCCCAGGATGAAAATTTCCCACAACTGATACCATCGATTACCAAGAATTGAGTATCCTTTATCATAAGAGCACTTTTTAAAATGACTGTGTACCAAGGAGCAGGTCTGGGTGGGGCCTAAGGCTCTGGATTTCTAACAGGCTTTCTGGTGACCCTGCTGCTGCTGGTCCAGAGGTCAGTGATCTGAGAGTAATAGAAATCTAATGCAATGGTCTCCATACCTTTTGGATCACACATACCAATCAATACAAAAAGAAAACAAAACTAAAAGTTTTGAGCAAGCACATTAGAACATACATATATAAATTATAATCCTAAAACATAAAATTGGAAGCTTACCTCAATTACTAGGCAACTACTCTGCATTATTAAAAAAAATTATTTAAAATCTTAGTTTCTGAATTTTACCAAAGGAAGTGATTTGCTTATATTAAAGTGTATAGTGATCTAAAACCTATCACTTTCCCAAATTAGAAAAATATTTTGATTTATTGTGGAAAGAGAAAATAATTCCAAGCAAGTTTAAAGACATCAAAACAGCAAACCATTCCACCTAGATTTTATTGTCTTGTGTCACATCAGCATTTCATGTTCCCCACCATCTGCTATTGGCAGGTCTTTTTGTGAATATTAATCTCGGATTGAAAACCGTGGGGAGAGCAGAGCCCATTTCAGAGCCAACTAAAAAGAACCATGTGGTCACTGGGCCAGGAGCTTGCTTAGCTGCTGCAAGGAACTTGAATAGAACCTGTGGTCATTCCCAATTAACCTCTTCCGGGCAGACCCAGCCTGAGATTCTGCCTGTGGCTGTGCTTGTGGCTGAGTCATGGGGTCTTATGACACAGGAAAGGTTTGACTGGAGAAAGTATCTGTGCTCCAGCTCGGCTTTGAAGCAGAGCTTGGAATGTTCCAATGTGTCTATTACAATCAGCTTATAACTTTTTAAAAAATAGGTAATCAGTAGTGTTATGTAATTATTTTTTTTAATGTTTTTATTGATTTCAGAGAGAGGCAGGGAGAGGGAGAGGGAGAGAGAGAATCCAACATCAATGATGACAGAGAATCATTTATCAGCTAGCTGCCTCCTTCACACCCCCTACTGGGGATTGAGCCCACAACCCAGGCATGTGCCCTGACCAGGAATCGAACCAGGACCTCCTGGTTCATGGGTCACCACTCAACTACTGAGCCACACCAGCGGGGCTCAGCTTATTCATTCATTCATTCATCCATTTATTTATTTATTTAAATATAGGGTGTGTTTTTTTAATCCTTATCCAAAGATATTTTTCCATTGATTTTTAGAGAGCGGGAAAGACAGAAAGAAATATCAATGTGAGAGACACATCCATTGGTTGCCTCCTGCAGGAGCCTGCAACCTAGTACGTGCCCTTGATGGGAATCAAACTCTGGAACCTTTGGTCTGCTGGCTGACGCTCTATCCACTGAGCAAACCAGATAGGGCGGGGCTCAGCTTATAACTTTTAATGGGAACACAAGAGCTGTATATAGCAGCAGCATCCTCCTTTCCTGAGCTGCCAAGTTGAGCCTTTATAGGTAAGAAATGTATAAATGTGTGTATATGTAGGAAGGAGGAGGGGAAAAGAACTGTGTGGAAGAAGGGTGTAGAGAAGCTCACACGATTAAATAGAACCCCACTGAATGCTGAAGGCTCATCACTCCCTCACACCAACCCAGAGTGGCTGCTACATTGGTAGCATGCACACTCCTCTATTTTCACCACAAAACTTCACATGTATTTAGTTAAAGAATTCCACGTGAAGAAGAAACTTTCTTGATGGCAATAATGGACCATTTTACCTTACTGCAAACATAATTTGCTCATTCCCATCTCTATGCCTTATGTAACAGTGTTCTATCTATAAAGTGGCCTTTTCTATATTGACCAGTGTAGTACATAATGTTTTTCATAATCCAGCTCGTTTCCAATCCACCAAGACTGTCCTAATAATCTTCCCTCACATGATCACTGCATTGCTTTGTATAAATAATGTAATAAGTATGGCTTATTTATGTTCTTCAGGGTTTAGGGTTTTCTTATCCTTCTCTTTTCTTCAGATAGAGTATGAATCTCTCAAGAGAAGCATAATGCTTTTTTTGTCTCTTCCATTGGGCCCAGTAACAGTCTTGGGCAGGCAAGAATTCCTTAAATACTTTTTTTTTCCTCTGTATTTTAGGCTCTCATACCTTCAAATTTACAAACTTGGGCTCCAATTTAAACAATTGTGAGGACAGCCAGAATCTGTGATCCCCTGCACAGCTATCTACGTTGAGTGATAAAACAGCATAGCCCTCAGTCGACTTAGTTTTCAACACTTTTCATCAACTCAATGAGCAATAATCTAGTATCATGAAATCCTTTCTCCTCTTTCTTCTTAACCAGCTCCCTTTAACTTCCTCTCATACTTTCTCTAATATAAAACACTACAAGATTCAGCAAGGTGCATGTTTCCCAGCACTCACTTTCTCTTAGCAATTTTCTCTTGCTTTGGTAATGACAAGACATCACCAATAAATATTCACAGAGAAAACTCTGGCTCAAAAATTCATCATCGTCTGATCAAGTAAGGTACAGGTACCATTGCCAACTGAGGTAAAATTGTGAAAAAAGACAAAGTCTGGGGCAATTTGAAAGCCAATGAATGAAATACCTTTTCATATTTAAAAACTAAATAAAGGTGAGAGAAGCTATATGGTCCCTTAAATGAAAACTCTAACTAAAGGGTATTTTTATTAGGATTTGAATTTTATGCATCTATCTGGAAGGGACATGCTCCTGAACATTGGGCTTTTCTCAACCAAGGTAATAGAAAGAATTAATCCTTAATGCCTGGGCATCCATTGAATGTAATGAATTGCCTCGTATCATTCAAGAAAGATGCAGAAGAGAAGCAAGGTGCCTTCTTTGGAAGAAATCAGAAAAAAAGAGTCCCTTCAACTCATTGTCTGTTTTGTGAGTTCAGATAAGAAACCCAGCTGAGAAGGGCCAGACTCCAGAAAAGTTAGTCTCCCAACCCCTGGCAATCCAGGAAGAAGCCACCCACGTTCATGGACCTCTACATAAGGACATGGCAGTCTCTAGTCAAGCGTGGCTTGTGGTGCCAGTTAAACTCATTTCATCTGACAAAGTCTCAAGGAAACAAAGTTCACCAGATTTATCATTTTTTTATGTTTAAGTGACAGAGGGAGGAAATCATCCAAGTGGTCCATCATACAGCACTTCGAGTCTCAAAGAATACTGACTTACTTCAGGCGATAACACGCTACCATTTTTAAGTTTCTCTTCCACACTGTTTCTTCGTCTCTGTAGCTGATCTTTTTCTTTCTGGAGGGCTTGAACTTGTTCTGAAATCTTTATTTTCTCTTCAGCTGTGCTACTCTGGAGCTGCACATTCTTTTTGGACAACTCTTGGTCCAACAAGTTCAGGCAAGTTGATATTTTCAAACTATCTGTGCTTAAGGCCTAAAAAGATACAATCAACAATAACCAAAAAAAGTTAGAAATCCAGATTGCATATAATTAGGAAAAACACAGAGAAAATTACTAAATGAATATTTTCTTAGGTTCTACATTATTTTCTCCCATGGATTTTTTTTTGGGGGGGGGGTGGAGGGGGTAGATATAAGAAGACTTCATTTTCTAAAATCTTAAGTTTAATGTCTTTTTTTTTTAATTAAAAATCAAACAATGAATATACTACCAAATACTGCTTGGCCACACCAGACCACACAGCATAGGTTTTAAGAGGCACTATTTTTCTTTTATTTTCTATATTGAACTTTTCTTCTTTGGCCTGGTTACATAGTAGAATTAATTACATTAAAATTTCCTAGAGTTTGAGATTTGGTTGGTTTATTATTTAAACATATAATTTGTTTCTATTCATTTCATTCTGGTTAAAAAATATGGCCAGTCAGATTTATGGAGCTCTTAATTATGGACTAAGTTAATTTTTAAAATATTTTTTCATCAAAGTAATTATATGTTTACTAGAGGCCCAGTATACAAAATTCATGCACGGGTAGGGTCCCTAGGCCTGGCCAGCGATCAGGGCCAATCAGGTTCCCCGCCTCCCTGCCTCCTCCTTCCCTCACTCCCTCAGCACCCCCCTGCCACCACTAGTCACCCGCCATGTTCCACGCCACCCCTTGTGGTCAGCGCACTTCATAGCGAGCTCCCAGTCTCCTGGTCGAACTCCCGAGGGGACACTTTGCATATTAGCCTTTTATATATAGATACAACCATAAGGTATATAATTTTTTAAAAAGCCACCCTCTCACCTGAGTCCCATTCCCCAGAAACAAGCATCTTCAATGTTTTAGCTATTTCTTCAGGTGTTTATGCCCATGTTTCTAAAGCATATTATCAATTTTAGATATTGTCTACTGACTGTCCATTACAGAAGGATTTAGCACTTTCATGCCTTCTATTTCCTTATATTTTTAAATTTTTTCTTGTTGATTTTTTAGAGAAACATCTACTTGTTGTTCCACTTATTTATGCATTCATTGATTGATTTTTTTACAGCTTTTTATTGACTTTATTAATTTTTAAATATATATTTTTATTGATCTCTGAGAGGAAGGCAGAGGGAGAGATAGAAATATCAATGATGAGAGAGAATCATTGATCGGCTGCCTCCTGCACATCCCCTACTGGGGATCAAGCCCACAACTAGGCATGTGCCCTTGACCAGAATCAGACCCGGGACCTTTAAGTCCACAGGCCAAACCAGCTAGGGCCATTGGTTGATTCTTGTATGTGCCCTGACTGGGGATCAAATCTGCAACTTTGGCAATGCTCTTTAACAACTGAGCTACCCAGCCAAGTTTCTTATAAGTATTCCTTAAATAGTGAAAAAAGATACTGCATAATCTTTTTATGCCTTTTATTCAGAAAAGAACCAGTAATGTAACAATCTCAAGTTTTCCTTCTGTTTTACCATAATCTTCAAAGAATCAATTATGCTTTCATTGACTGTGGGTTTCATTTATTTGTACTCTTTATTTATGTATGTGTTTGCAAAATAGTACATCTTGTTGAAATTATAAAATATCTGCTCTTTTTTCCCCTGTATCATACACTTATTTCCATAAAAATATATTTTTCCTTATTCCTTTTTTATTTTTTCTCTTTTGTGATACAGAACATATCATAGAGTTCCCAGGTTATTTTCTCCTATTTACTCATTTGATGTTTTAATTTGGTAATCCCCTTGCTCTTGTTATGCTTTGAGGGACAGTTTTTAAAACTTCACACTGACAGCCAGTGTGAGCATGCTACCTGGATATAGCACCAGCAACTAGGATGGTTGGAGGGGATGCCCCTCCCCCTGTACCCATCAGCCTGGTGCTGACAGCTATTTCAACATGTTTAGGGAACAGAGGACAGAGCATCCCTGTCTGCCTGTTATAATGAGGTGGAGAGGTTAAGAACATGCCACTGTCAACTCAGAGTTTGGCTGAAGGGCAAATCTAATAAAAAGGCAGGTCATTGATCCTCTCTGTTCATTAAGTCAATATATAGATTGACCTTGGACTCCAGGCCTGCTGGAGACCAAGTTTTGGGTGAGAAAGTCCTTTTCAAGTCTGGGGCAAGCCAGCTTCATTTTTAGATTCTGTTTTTGCTGTTGCTAATGTTGAAGATATACAAAGATATATTTAAAATGTATTTTATGGTCCTCTACTCCCTTCACAATCATTTTTTCAAAACTTGAAATTGAGGCAAACTCCTTCATAAAACGACTTTGACTGGCTCATAAAATCCAAGTCCTCTAGAAAAAACTTTTGTAAAGGTCCCCAAGTCTTTATAATTTGGAAAGTAAATAAATCTTCATTACATAAAATCTTCTTTTATAGAAACCCTAAAACCTCTAACTTTACATAGTAGTGATAGCTAGATCATTTTCAAGTCTATTTTTCCAGATTACTAATGTTCAGTATACAGCATCAAATAGTACAATTTATTTAGAAAATATCCACTAAAGTTAATAAGAGGGATCACCAGGGGAAAAGGAGAGTTATTGCTTAATGGTTACAGAGTTTCTGTTTAGGGTAATAAAAAGTTTTAGAAACAGACAGTAGTGATGATTATACAACATTGCAAATGTAATTAGTGCCACTGAATTGTAAATTTAAAAAAGGTCAACATGATAAATTTTACGTTATGTATATTTTACAATTTTAAAAATACAAATAAATAGTAATAAATAAATCATATTTGGCAGAACACTGAACTTTTTACTTAAAAAATGAATAGATTTTAGTGAGGGCCATTAGATAAACCGTAATAAGCAAAATACACTGAAAATAAGAATAGTTTTCTTCTGATTTCTGTCTTCACAATGGCTTACTTCTTAGAGAAAAAAGCCTACTTTATATGACTTACAACCAGAATGAAACAACCTATTAAATAGAATACCTGACTAGATCTCAACTTCTTATTTTCCAGGTGGCTCTTCTCCTGTAACAGGGCCTCCTTCTTAGAAACGATGGCCTCCCGCTTCTTTAAGTCTTCTTCCAGCTCCTCTAATTCTTGGCGTTGGTTCAGAACTTTCTCTACTTCTTCATCTAACCATTTCTTTTGCTCATCTAATTTCTACATTAAAATTACAAAGAAATGTTATTTTTTTTTCCTTCTGCCATAAAATGTATAAGGTAATATAACTTCAGATTAGCTGAAAGACCAGAAATGAACATGTGGAAATAATAAAATAGTGTTCATTTCTAAAACTGTCTAGAAGTGAGTGGTTCCACTTAACATCTTGCTGTGTTGTTTAATAAGGAATTAAAACTTACTCTCCAAATATATTTGAGTCTGAGAATTTTTAGGCTGACCAAGAAAGGGGTGACAATTTCTTTACATATAGTAAGAGTTCGTTCTGAGAACAAGCTAGGAATCTTTTTCTCTGTTAAAGAGGTGCATACCTCCATCACAGCACTTACACTCCTGGTTCCCCAACTTGAGATTCTTGATTGAATACGGGACTGTACTTTTCACCTTTGTATCCCCAAAACTTGACCCATGACTGGCCTTCAATAAATTGTTAAATGAATGACTGAATGCCTGATTCAATCAACTAATCGATGAAGTGAATAAATGAACACACACAGTGGAAGACATTGATGATGAACCATAGAAATCCACTCTGCACTGTATCCTGTCAACATCAAATAATTATTCAGTAAAATACAGTCAGAAAGATTTCCAAAGCAAACATCTTAATACTCCCTTGAATTAAGGATACCCAGAAGTAAGAACAAACACAAATATGAAGGGAATATGACTGTTCAAGATGAACTCTACTAAGCACTCATTTGTACTATGTGTTCATAGTAATGAAGCAATGCCAACTAAACAACAAATAATAGATATAAAATCAATATAGTACTATTTTCCAGTTCTTTTCAAGCTTGATAAAAAGTGGTTCCTAGAAATCTACATTAAGACAATAGAAAATATGCAAGAGAAAAAAAGAGCAAAGTGGCCACAGCCAAGTTGGTCCAGAGCTATGAGTCAGTCTTCCATCCACACCTAAAGAGTATGGTCCTATAGCACTATCACATCAAACCACAATGAAGCCTAAAATAGCGCGACAATTTTAAGAAACAGAAAGGATATCCAGAACAATATAGAAATACTTTATTTTTGTTATATCAGCTATACCATAGAAAGTCCATATACGAGACCCTATGAAGTCTAGCAATTAAACATATTCTATAAACATTCCTTGACTATGAGTTGGGTTTGAAAGATGAACAATAGAGCTTTTTAAAGCTCCATTCCAACAGGAGAGAAACCAAAAAATTATTGGTGCTAATAAATGCTAACTCCTAGGTACCATGTAAGCAAAAACGGAGAGGGATTGGCTTTGTCTGGAAATGGAAGAAATGCAATGCCAGTCCTACAGAGTAGGTAATATTTTAGCTATGCTTTGAAGAATAGGTAGGAGTCTGCTAACGTAAGTTTTTTAGGGAAATAATAATAGATTTTTCTGCATTTGGTAAAATAAGGGTTATGATTTGTGTAATTCACTGTATCTTTGTTTTCTGAAAACGTCTTGATTTGTTTTTTCTCTTTATAGCAAAAGTTCCTACCATACAGTTTTAATTTTAAATACTTTCTTCTTATATAGGGACTTTATATGAAGTCATTGTCCTATAATAAGCTCTCTGGATACTCATATTGATTAACTTATAATCTTGTCCTTGTTTAGAGTCAAATTCTGGAAAATGTTTGTTTTACAACATTAAAAAACATGAAGTTTTGTGTGTATTTTTCTTAACCCAAAACAGTCAGTGCAAGCATAGTAATCTTTTTATTATTGTGCTTGCTTAAAATTTAGATCCTTAACATTTTGAAAAAGCAGATCTCACTATTCTGCATATGCCTACCTCTCCTCCTCCCCTCACACCGTTTCCACCCAGAAATGCTCTTTAACCATTTCTAAAACATACTAGTAAAATAAATAACTGGGAATACAGTAAGTCCTCACTTAACATCATTGGTAGATTCTGCAATTTTCAGCAAAATTATGTATAATGGAACCAATTTTACTATAGGCTACTTTATATAAACAAACGTTAACTTCCCAAGTCATCTTACCAACATCACAATGAACAATGTTGAATAATATGATGTTATTCCAGGACCTGCTGTATATTCATGAAATGTTACTATTAAAGTGTAAAATTCAGGAACAGAGAACAAATAAATTTTTCAGAATCAAGATGATGTATATGCATTTGAGTGTAATTACAATTGTTTTTTGTTTTGAGAGTGAGATTTTATTTTTTCTTTATTGATTAAAGTATTACATATGGGTCTTTACCCCCCCCCTTCATTGCCCCTCTACAAGTATAGTAGTTTTCTGTAAGATTTTTAGAACTGCCATTTTGAATTTCCATAAAATGAAAATTTTGTTTCTTTGAACTTTCATAGTAGTTTATGAATTTCATTTTTTAAATGTGGCATTAGTCCTGGTGATTTTGCTCAGTGGATAAAGCATTCCTGGCCCTCAGTTGGGGTGGATGCAGGAGGCAACCAATCAATGTGTATCTTTCACATAGGTGTTTCTCTCTCTCTCTTTCCCCCTCCTTTTCACTCTCTCTAAAAATCAATGGAAAAAATATCCTCTGGTGAGAAATAAATAAGGCACTAAAACAAACAATAGCTTCTTAATATATTGTATGTGGTGCATATAAAATGAATGAGGAGCTCTGATTTTTAGAAATACATATTTCCATGGGAATAAGTCAGTTTTGACATGGGAATAAATACATTCTGGTGAACATGGATTTCATGTTTACATTCCACATGAAATAAATTCATATCTGGATAAGAAAATAATTTTACCCTTAAGTTGCAAAATCTAGTGTTTGAAGATTTTGCTCAGAGTTCACCATTTTTTACCTCCATTTAGACAATCATCAAATAGAAGAAAAAACCAAAAAACACTAAATAGAATTGACAAACCTGGAGCTGGTCTATACTTCCAAACAAACCTTTTCTTCTTTCCATCTTAAATGCATCTAGGTCCTCAGTTTTCAGTTTCAGACCTTCTTCCAGTTCTGTTTTTAACTTTAGTTCCTACAGAAAACAGAAATCAGAAATACCTTATGGCTTTCATAGTGGCCAATGATTACTATGAAAATAATCATTTGCTTTCTTAGTTGCAAAAAGAAAGTGAGTAGATGAGGTCGGGGCCATTTGAAAAGAAAATAACATTAGCCCCTCACTGAAGCAATAAAATCTTACAGCAAAAAAATCAGGCTTTACTAACAAAACTAAGGGGTGTGTATGTGTGTGTTTCATTCTTTCCCAGTGTTACAAATTCGTGTAACAAGGATGAGTCTGAAAATTATAAATGTGCTTTTCTCTTGTGCCTTTCTGAACTCATTACCCTCAGTTAGTCCATCCAAGGCACCCATCTGTCATGAGGATATTAGGATTTATGACAATAGAAATGTAAAAAGTAGCAGTCTATTTCTGGCATTCAAAAATCAGATTTTGCAGCCTGAGAATAGCCTTGCAAAACAAATCATGGTTTTGTGAGGGTATTTTCCAAATTCCTTTAGTTTCCATCCACCTCTTAAGAGTCACATCAGAGAGGCCCGTTGCTCACAGTGCTCTCCAGGTTTAGAGAAGATGCCTCTGTCACCACTACAGCTTAGCAGGAATCAGGAAGGAGGTCATGAATCAAAGGGCTAGTCCACATACTAACTCCATGGTCCATGATAGAGAAGTACAGACATGGAGTGTGTTTAGAAATTTATAGCAATTTGACAGAATAATTTTATATCTGTTGAATCTAATAATTAAAAGATGGACTTTTATATTTTAATCTTTATTAAAATAGTTCATGTTTATAAAAAGTATTGGGCTGGCCCTAGCCGGTTTGGCTCAGTGCATAGAGCATCGGTCTGTGGACTGAAGGGTCTGGGATTTGATTCTGGTCAAGGGTACATACCAAGGTTGCAGGCCCTGGCCCTGGTCAGGGAGTATGCTGGAGGCAACTAATTGATGTGTTTATCTCACATCAATATTTCTGTCTTTCCCTCTCTCTTCCACTCTCTCTAAAAACCAATGGAAAAATATCCTTATGTGAGGGTTAAAAATATAGATATATTGGGCTGTGATATATTAATAGTAAAATAAAAATTGTGCCTTTTCCACAGGTAATTTCAGAAGTACTGATATAAAGGAAGTCTACCATTTTCCAGCCCTTGGAACAGCAGAAAGGAGAAAAGAGACAGTAAGAAAGATGTGTCCTGCCCTAGGTGGTTTGGCTCAGTGGTTAGAGTGTCGGCCCACAGACTGATGGGTCTCAGGTTCGATTCCAGTCAAAGGCACATACCTCAGTTGCAGCCTTGATCCCTAGCCCTGGTCTGGGTGTGTGTGGGAGGCAACCAATCAATGTATCTCCCTCACATCAATGTTTCTCTCTTTCTATCTCTCCCCCTCCCTTCCACCCTCCCTAAAACCAATGGGGGAAAAAATACCCTCGAGTGAGGATTAACAACAAAAAAAAGATGAGTGTCCCAATTTTCCTCTCTTAAGTTTTGGCTCAGAAAGGGGGTGGTAAGTAAAGATATCACTGAGGGTGGAGGGAGAGAGAATGTAGAGTGCAGAGGCTCCACTCCCACATGGGATTGCCCAGCCTTGCTGAAAGAGCAAGGTACAGTCAGGAAAGAGACTAATTGAACCCCTCAGCCTCAAGTGACAAGGGACCCTGAGTTGGGAGTCACTGGGGGTCGGTTATCATAGAGAATTGACCTGCAAAATGAAGATGAGTATAGACCACAAGGTTATCAGCAGGCTAGGTGGAATCCCTAGTAGGCTCAATAGGGATTTATAATGCCAGTAGGAAATGAGATGAAGTCAAAACACCTCCATGCTCTAAGCTGAAAGCAAGATCAGACTATGAGTCCTACCAGCCATGAGTTTCATCATCAGGGGCCAGCAGGGAAAGGTTGACAAGAGCAGATCCCAGTCAGTTACATCCACGGACCAAATGAAACTCAGAGGCCCACTTCCTCCATAGGATGCAATAAAAAGCTACATACCCAACCACCACATACATTGGATTCCATCTTAGGGAGAGAAGCACAGGGTGGAAGAGGCTAAGAGTCTAAATATTTGTATTCAAGAGAGCTGAGAAATATTTAAAGGAAATGTTTAAATTCAAAGAAAAGGTTTAAACAGACTGGACATTTGGTTAATTCCCATGTTTCCAGCAATTATCATGACATGGACTGGGCAGGGGCAGGGGGTGTCATAAAGAACACAAGTCTGCTATAAACTAAGTAAATGTTCTCTGCATTATGAGTGAATTATACTTACTACCCATCAATTTTTCATGCTTCCCTAGATCTAGTTCATAGTTCTAGTTTGACTCCTGTCATAGTCACAGTAACTTCAGGATCCTTAAGTAAAGGCACCTTATACTTGGAGCTAACTACTATTTCTGTCCTTACACATACACTTTAAAAGACTACTGTAGTAGGTCCAATTCCTTCTGCATGTCGCAATAGACATGGCTGCCTTTATTTTATATTGTAATCCCTGTTACAATATTAAAATAACTGTCTGCCAGGCACTGTACTAGCCTTTTCATGTCTATTTAAGTACACTCCTTAATTCTCAGAGTAATCCTATTGCCAAGGATTGTTATAAACTACATTTTATAGATGAGGAAAATGGTGCTTAAAGGAGTAAAAAGCCCAAGATCACACTATGGGCCCACAATTCCAGGAGTTCCCATATCTTTTCTTTATAGCTCATCCATGGACTTCAGTTAAGAATTGCTGCAGAAGTCATAGTATTCTCTGGAAGTGGCTTAGTTCAGTGGAAAATGGACAAAGAGGAGTGTCAGCTCCAAACAGAGGGCAAGATGGGCTTTAGGACTGTGAGCAGGTTTTCTGTTTGTGCATGAAGTAGTACAAACTTCAGTATTTCCTTGGGGCACACTATTCCTTTTTCTGGAAT